ATATTTATACAGAGTAAATATGTCAGTGGTTGAAACACATTTAAAAAGAAAAAAAAAGTTTTACAGTGAATGCCAACTTTTTTGTCACATTTATTTATTTTTTTTACTGTTTTCATCTACTCTGAAAATCTAATGTTGCTCTAATAGATTTCACACGACACATGAGCATATGTATTTCAATGTAAAAGCTCATCATTTATTTTATAAGTTCTTTGAAACATTTCCTCATAAACACCCAAACCTACCTCATTTGTTGGCTAGTGTGTAGGCCTTTTAGTGCATAATGATCCAACCATTGTCCCGTGGGAAAACTGCTCCAGTTTAAATGATCCCATTGATGCTATGAGTACCACTTGCATGAAGGAAATGTAGCTTTTGGCTCAGTTCAGAAAATTTGGTGTAATCATTAAAATAATTCAGTCGTGTTTAACAGCTTGTCTTTTGACTAATGTTTAGCCAGGGAGTTGTGTCATAAAATAAAATATTTTCCTCCCCTTAAATCAGTGTATGCTTTGTGTCATTTTCCAGGTGTGAATTTTATTTATTTATTTTTAAAAATTTTAAGTTTCTTTGCATAAAAGTAGATATTACCCCACCATTAGAAAGTTGCTGCTGCTGGCAGCATGACAAAGGACTTTTTTTTGTCTGCAATTGGTAAGCTTTATATTCATCCACAGCGAGTACGCAGTTCTTTGCAAAACATTTAAACCACTGCTGAAGTTACTTTTGAGCCAGGCTTTCTTGTATTATTCATGGTTTTAATCAATATGTTTATTTTTATCTTTATGGAGGTTTGTCTAAGTTTTTCCTATGTATTTGGTTTCTTCTCTGCTGAATTTCTGTCTAGTCCTTGTGCCTTGTCTTGACAGTTTATTATGCAGTGTTTATTTGCTGTAATTGTGAGAAAAAAGGGCAAGTGGAAAAAAAAGAAAAGAAAATGCATGTCAGGCCTAAAAATCTTCCTACAATACATCAATAAACAACAGTGGGCTGAGACATGAACCCTGATGAATGCCAACTTTAATCTCAATTGCTATTTTGTTGCCTTTGCCAGTTCTGACTGTTGATACAACACCTTTGTACATGGAACTAATGATGAGCAACACCTGAAAGTCATCTCTTAGCCATTTAGCAGATCAATGAAAGCTCCCACAAAGTATCGGTAAAAAAAACAGAAATGTTTGAAAGAAGATAGATATGAATAATTTTGTCTTATTTAAGATAAATAAATCTCTCATTTATGTTATCTAACATGATCACAGATATGTGTGATTGAAGGACAAACACAAATAATTTACATACTCAACTTTACAGTAGACAAAAAAGATTAAAGACAATCCAGCCACATCTGAGCTTCATTAGATGCCAGTCATTTTCTGAACTGAGTGAATTTACACTTATAGATGTGAAAAATAGAAGAAGAAAAAAAGCTCTTTGGAGTGTGTTCATGTGCAATTTTTTGAGTCTGTGGAGCACATGTGTGTGAATGCTAATTGGTTCCAGAGGCAGGATGTGACATAGGCATCTCCTCCCTCTTTGCTGACATGGCACAAACATGCACACATATTCTCTCACACGCACACACACAAGACTGCACAGGAGAGCATTAACCGTTCACCCCAAAACACCCTCTGACTGAGCAAAGCCATAAAAACATAAAGAGGGATTTTGGCTGTGAGGATTCTGTTTCCATGTGTTTCAGTGTGAGTCAATGTCTACATGGACTTGTGCTTTTCACTTGCCAGCACACTTTTGCGAGAGTGTTTCAGTTTGTCGGTGTAATCCTAGGATGTTCGATATGAAACTTATTATCCACTCTCATACCATTGAAAATGAACTTTTGTAAAATTATTTGATTTTACTGAACTCAAGATAGACGTCTTTAACAGGCCTCTTCATCATAATCACAACCTGAACGTCATTCTGCGTTTGTTGTACTTTGAACATGGTAGTTTATAGTGAAAACAGGAAGTGAATAAATTACAAACTCTAGTTTTAGTAGAATAAAGTTTTTGAAAATTAAAAAAATGTATATAAATAAAACTTCCAAAATGCTTTTAAACAACTTTTTCTAAATCAAACATGCACCAATATACAAATTTCTACATTGAAATCACTTTTTTGCCACTCAGCTATGACATCAGAATAATTAGCCTTTTCATGTTCTGCAATCACATGTACCACATATATTATCATTATCATTATTATCATTGTTGTTATTATTTTACCTGTTGATCCCAGTGCTGACACTGGATCCCAGACCTCGTCACGTTCACACTGCCTTGGTAGAAACGACCTCGGTCATTGTAACATGATGCTGTTTACAACAAACATAAATTACTGTTTGAAGATTTTAACAATCACTGTGTCTTAAGTTATCGGTTTATCACTTACTTGTAATCTGATCCTTTTTTAATTCTAAAATATAACATAAAACAGATCTACAATTAGGTGTAAAGAAGAAATAGACCAATAAAAAATTAAAACAGGCCAACTATTGTAATAATCAATTTTGGTGGTTCTTATTACACAATAATTTAACCCAAAACATGCATCCCTGTAGCGTCATTGCAGTAAGCAACAACTGTTAAACTTACAAACATTTTTAGGTTTAAACCTCCCAATAAGTACAGTGGATTTAACCACAAGATGAAAAACAACTTCTCACCGCCTCAGCTTACCTACAAAAGGAATGTGTGTACAAGCACTGGGGTCTGTGCGAACACTTGGTAAGGACTGACAGTTGGGCAGCAGTGAACTGGAAGTGTGAGACCCAGTGATAGGATTTAAGAACCCAGCCTGGATTGTCCCAGTACCCTCCAGTACCAACCACTCCTTGTAGCAGTACAGCTCCTTCACTGCCAGACAGTGTTCTCTGTATGAATTACAATAATTACCTATCATTTGTTCAGTTTATTTGTTACATTTATAAATCATCTCTGAATGTATTGACTCTCACATTATAACTGAGCCGTGTTACCTGCAGACTGGTTTGGGCGCAGGCCCTAACCCCGATGGGTTGCAGTTGGGAAAGGAGGAGTGGCACAGCAGCGAGCGTACGGCAGGGCTACACAAACCGCTGACTCTTTCGAGCTCCACCCACCAGCTCTGAACCAGGTACTCTTGCATATTTTCGGGGTCCGAAAGGGAGGCGTTAAAGAAAACCAGGGCGTCGTCTCGCAGGATCGAATGGCAAACATCTCCCCGGTATGCACTGCAGTAGCCTGTGACACCTTTGTAGAGTCTTTTGAAAGGAGATTAACGTAGATTCAAATTTGCACTCAACCATTAGATGTAAAAAAATTAAAGCAAATTGGTTAAACTTTAATAATAGCTTAGAAAAGACTGCACATAAAGAGAAATGGCTTGTGGGAGTTCTGTCCTGTCAGCTCCCTGCAACCACATCTGAGCACCAATCAGCAGCACCTGAGGATCAACAGCTTGATGAGCAAGAGGAGCATACAAGGCTGCAGAGGACATCCAGTCAGTACTGAAGCATTATCTGCCAACGGTAGTTCTGTTCTAGCCATTTACTTGTGAGTTACCGTAAACAAAATGGTAACAAATTGTGTAATTCTTTGTGCTTTCATAGTATAATCCCTGTTGTCCTCCTGTACCCTGGATTCTTCTCTGTGGACCTCGAGCTCTCCTGTGTCTCCTCAACTGCCTCCACGCCTTCCTACCGCTTGCCTGTCTCCTGCCTGGAACCTTTGTTCTGACGCGCACCTCCTTTGCCTGGAACCGTTGGGTCAGCTCTCCTCACAACTGACTCCTACCAGTACAGTAAGAAAGAGCAGCAACGATATTATCACCCCCTGCCAACAGACCAGTAACCTTCTCCTTGCTCTTCAGGGTACCAGCGTATCTGTTCTCTTCAGTCCTTCTATCTGGGTATAGCTGCAATCGTTACATGGCTAATATCGTGCAAAATAATAAATATTTTGTAGTTGAGCAGTTGTATAAAATGGAGAATTTAGTGTCATCTGGGTATATTCTTCATGATACTTGCTTTATTAACTTTTGGCTTGCATGATTAGATTGAAGAAAGATAAAGCAGTAATAAATACATGGTTAAAGCCTCTGGAGTTATTCTCATTTTGCTTCCTTTTCCTGCAGTCAGTGAATGTACAAGAGGTTAAGTTCCATAAAAAAAAAAAAAAAAAATTCTGAGAACTGTTTTTTTTCTCCATAGCCATTAAAATACTCCAGATGCTGATCATAAAGAAGGTTATGAACGGTTTACTATTAAATTAGTTTACATCCTGCTTGTTGGACTTCCTTATTGCTTGAATGAATATTGGTTGCAAACTTTGCATAAACCTGGCTGGATGTATCCCAGATTTCCTGTTTTTTTTTCTGTTTACCTTGCTTTTTTTTTACTTGTGTTTCTTTTCTTTGTTTCCCCTTAAGAATGAAAAAGCTTCAGATTTATTCCACTTTCATTTTGACCTTTTCATCGTCTGTCTGATAGCCGTCTTTCCTGGCCAACTTTCCTGCTGCCTCTCTACTTTAACCTTGACAAACTCCAGATGTCACCTCTTGGGGAGACTAAAACTTTTTAAAGTCAAACCATCAAACTAAACAGTGAACTTTAAATGTATTCCTTGCTGTTCTGTTTTTTTTTACCTTACTAGTCACTGTGTTTCTGCAGCACAAATGTGGTAATACTTTCTTAAATTACAGTCAAATTGAATCTCTGAACCTTTTCATGACCTACAATCCACTGCTTCCTATGTAGCTCAATTTTCATCAGGCAGCCAGATGGCAACATTTTCTTCCAGTCACTCTCCTTCTGTGTTGTTCTTGTTCATAACTGTCAGTGCAGGTATGGCTTTCTTTGCAGTTACATAATCCAGATGTTGCCACTGGCAATGTGCTATGCTTCAAAAATTTCAAGCTGACCAATGATACTACTAAGAGATCATTTAGTTTATAACTGCTGATTGCAAAGGAAGGAGCAAAACCTAAGTTTGTTGGCCCAAACTCAAACGGGTAATATTCAAAACATTTGAAAAACAGTTTGATTGATAAGACATTTTTTTTAAATTTGCGTTGAAATGTTAATACACTAAAGCATGGCCATGACTTGTAAAAAAAAATAGGCAAATTATATTTTTCTTACCTCCACTCTATTGGAAAATGGCAATACCCAGAGGAGACACGTTGTAGATGGAGAGACATGAAGATGAAAGATATACAGACAAAAGAAAGTTGAGAAATTAAAACACGTCTTCTTAAGAAGAGCAAAAGCTTCTTTTCAAAGGTCATAGTGAGGAGCCTGAAGAACAGCCGGGATGATAACTGTGTGTGGTCAATGGTAGAAATGGATGTGACTGAGCTTTTGGTTTTCAAGGAGACGGTGACTGGGGAGGGTTTAAGAGTTAGCCAAATAAAGTAGGCAAAAAACAGCTGAAGCAACAGAAACACAACTAACCAGCAGCTGGCACAACATAAAGCAGTAGCCAGTCAAAAGCAACAACTGACTGAGAAAAGAAGGCAAAAACAGAATGACTTGTTTGTTGTTCTTGTTGCAGCAGTCTTAGCATTTAATAAATTCAAATACCAGATAAAAATCTAACTGTGCGTTACCTGCGACTGTAACTCGCGCACTTGCTTTGACAGTATTGGCTCCAGCGCTGTGCTTATTTGAGGCAACACATGTATACAAAGCTGGTTTCTTCACTGTCACTTTAAGAACAGACAGTATTATGTCTTCCACCATGGTCTCCTCCACTGAAGCACCTGAGATCTGGGAAAAAAGACATGCAATAGTATCGTTATACTTATTCACGTGCTTTACCGTCTTCCAGAAAAATCAAGTTTAATTTAAAACCTGGCGTTCCATGAAGGAATACCCACAGATTTGCTTGCCAGAGTTGGATATAGTTTGGTAAAAATTTTGCAAAAAACATTATAATTCAGAAATTTCATGCTGTATTGCATTATCTGTTACAGTATCTAAAAGAATAACTGCCAGCTACTACCACACCGTTTATTATATCTAAAATGCACTGAGGTACAGTCACTTTGTAGTCTAAGATTGATTAGCTGTGGCAGACATTTTGAGTTGGGCTGATTTTAAAAGTTAATCAGTGGTGCATGTATAACCAGTATTTACTTTCCGAGTTTTATTGAAATCCATCCAATGTTTCATTAGATATGTTTCTAAGTAAACAAGGTTGACTCCAAGAGTTAGTGCCAAGAGATGCCACACAATATTCAGCAATTAACACGAGAACATTTAGCTCAACATACAGTATGTGATACTAATGAAGTTGTATCCATTTTTTGTGTTTTCTAAAGTCGATTGGCTGTGGCAGCCATCTTCAAATTGGCTCACTCTAAATGTTAATCAGTTAGATGTAGATATATATCCAATGATTACCTTCTAAAATGCTGATTAAAATCAATTCAGTGATTCATGGGATAGTTTTGCTAACGCTACAAACAAATTAACACACAGAGACATGATCAAAAACATTATTGTTCCTTCCCATTTGGTGGTGTGTGATTAAAAACAGAATTAATGGAACTATTGAACAATTAATTATTAATCAAAACGTGGTAGTGTAGAGGTTAGAAAAGGTGAGCCTGTGAGCAAAAGGTCGCAAGTTTAAATCCCTAAATTGACAACAAAAATGTGGGTGGGTAAGGTGAAGCAGCCACACCTGCCTCCATCCTCATTTGCCCCACTCTGGTGACTATTGCAATGTTTTGTTATCTGCGTGTCAAAATACTTCTTTATAAAGTCTTCAGTTAATCCAAAATGCTGCTGCCAGAATCTTAACTGGAGAGAGATCATATCTCTCCAGTTGTAGCTTCTCTCCATTGGTTCCCTGTCAAATCCAGAATATAATTCAAAATCTTGCTTCTAACCTACAAAGCTCTCAACAACCTAGCTCCATTTTATATTCAAGATCTTATTGTTTCATATTTTCCTAACAGAGCACTTTGCTCTTAGACTGCAGGCTTACTTGTGGTTCCTAGAGTTTCCAAAAGCAGAATGGGAGGAAGATCTTTCAGTTATCAGGCTCCTCTCTTGTGGAACCGACTTCCAGTTTCTGTCCATGAGGCTGACACATTGTCAAGTTTTAAGACTGGGATTAAGACTTTCTTTTTTGATAAATCCTATAGTTAGGGTTGGATTGTTATGCTGCCTTAAACTTAGATTACTAGAGGGCAAATTGACCTAATTTCCTTAAATGATTTGCTAAAACTGAATAGTTGTTATTTGATAGCATTTCTATATTAACGTGATTCTTGACCTGCCATTGTGTATCTGTTCCTCTCAAACCCAGCCGGTCGAAGCAGATGACCACGTGTCCCGAGTTGGTTCTGCTAAAGGTTTCTTCCTCATGAGGGAGTTTTTCCTTTCCACTGTCTCCTTCATGCTTGCTCAAGATGAGAGCTCTGTGATGGAGTTAAACTCAAAGCAGTCTGCTCCTCAGATAAATAATGTTAAATTATTATTTTTATATTTGAATGTTTCTGTTCAGTGCCCTGAGATGACTTCTGTTGTGACTTGGCGCTATATAACTAAACCGAATTTAAATGAATTGGTGCGATGGGAAAATGCAGAGAATTAATTTTCCCATTTGGTATTAATAGAGTATAATATTTATTATACTTTTTATTTGTAAAAAAAGAGTTTATGATCATGTGGAATTGATTTTGATAAGAAAATACAATTTTTACACATTTGGTGTTTGTATCGCTTAAAATAGATTTGAGTTGGGGCCAAATCCCTATTCTGAACATGACTTGTGTATTAAGCCTTGGTAGTAATAACTATAAAAACATGTGTGTCTAGTAGTTATATAAACACTTATATTTAGGTGACATGAAGAATGATAATCCTTGGAAGGCCATGGGCAAGCCCAAACTTTCACACAATGTAAACATGTCCCTAAAGAACATTTCACTTGTTGTTTTTAGTTCCAGGATTTACACTTCCATATATTTACCAGTGATATATGTGAGGATCTGTTGTGTGTGTGTGAGGGAGTCAGTCTAGGTGCCGACATGTGACTATGTCTAAATTTGAAGCTGCGTTTCACACGACCTGTTTTTAGGATGTGCTCACTCCTGCCGCGCTGAAATTAATGAACTTAACAAGCTGCCAAAAAGTCAGCTCCGAGAGTCATTTTAATCAGTGCACACAAATACAAATAGCATTTACAGGCATTAAAGGGTTGTAATCACTTTGTAGCTAGCACCTGTATTAGAATAGGACTCAACAAGCAATAGTGTCCGCTGTCTTTTAAAAACATCTATACTATTACCAATAAAATAAACATTTGGGAATTTTTTTTCAAGTCCAATTATGTCATTGAACCTGACAATATTGTCTATCATTAACTATTTACAAGACAGCCTGTTTAGTTTTCTGTCACTATGATGATTATCCCCTGCAGTTTTTATGACTGATCCCACAGCTGGTCTCAAAGTGCATTAACTGGTGTGTCTGTGTGTAAAGTAGACAAAGAAAACAATGGAATGATATAGGACATTACATCATATAGGATTTGGATTGTTGTTCTATCCGGCATGTCATTCCTTGTCAAGGTTTTTCCATGAGATTCTATGCCACACTCGTCCCTGTTTGCCAACAGAAATGTCATATTGTTAAAAAGTGGTGGAAAATTTACAAGCATAGTTTGATTTTTCTTGCCCCTTTGTGACTTCAAATCAGGAAAATGTTGTTTTAAACAATCACTTTTCTCTTCATATAACATCAATACAATCCTGAGTTGTCTTTATGAGGATGACCTCATCATTATTCACAGAAAATGAAGCATCCTTGAGCAGTTTTGTGAGAAGAAAAACACGTATGTAAACTGTTCCGCACAGTCACTAGATCACACCCCTGTGGATCACCTGTGGAATATTTGGACTGACATATTGGAGACTATCATTCCCATCTTCAAAAGTGTAAAGACTTGCACTGTAGAGTCAAGTCTTGTAAAGTCCTGTCTATTTATGGCCAAGTTTGCTTATACATGCACACACATGCACCAACAATGACCTCAGAAGCTCACAGTGTTTCCGTTTTCCAGCCAGGTGATGGTGGGGATTGGATTTCCTGTGGCATTGCAGTCCAAGGATATCTGACTACCATACTCTACTCTCTTTTCTTTTGGAACCCGCAGGATTCGTGCTGGAGCTGGACAAATACACAAGTAAACACAAAGTTATATTAGTGAAATAATGCTAAATATCTAGGGTTTACAGTTTGTTCATGAATACCTTGTACTTCAATGATGACAGGCTTTGAAAAAGCCAAACCGAAGCTGTTCCTGGCCACACAGCGGTACTGTCCTGCATCCTCCTTCTGTATGTTGTGAATTTTCAATGCCCCATAGTCAAGAATGGTAATATGATCACTGACCTGTAAGAAATTTGTTTTAAAGGTAAAAATTATTTCTGGATGCTGTTTAAAAATAAATTAAACTCCATCAGCATACCTTGATCAGCTCATCATTTTTGAGCCAGGTGATATCAGGTTTAGGGTTGCCAAGGGTAACACATGGCAGCACAGCCTTGGATTCTAGTAGAAGGGTTACATTGGTAGGATGCCGCTTGATTTGGGGTTCTGACAAAAAGACATAGAAGGCACAAAATGATGGTTTAAGACGGTTACATTAAAAGTGTTGGTAAAAGAATGTAAGATATCTTGACTGTGGCCTTTAATTCTAGGAAAATAATCGAACTTACTCATCTTAAGTTGAAGAGCGCCACAGCTCTTTGCAGGCTCCCCAATGCCATTACTAGCAATGCAACAGTATTCTCCATTGTCTGTCTCTTTCACATGAGGAATGATCAGCATCTGACCTTGCTCTCTGGTAAGATACCGAGTGTCATAGTACCTGGTTGATAAAATGTACAAAACATCACATGATGATGTTTTTTTTTTTATTTTCCAAAAGTTAATATTTTGATGACCTACATTAGAAACTCAAAGTCAAATCTAATAAGACATGCAATGAAAAGTGTTGTCACAAGTTCTCACTGTTAACCTCAGCCACTCATTCATTGAGCAATTTTGTTAGCAGATCAATGGACATTTTAGTCCTCGATTTTGCTAGCAAGCTGCTGTTTTTTTGTGTAGCTGTACAAACCACTTAAATGAATGATCCTAAATATCAAATAGATTTAATTTCTGTAGCTGAAGATCTTTCCCTTCTCATCTGAGTTGTCTTAGTTCAAACCTGAAATGTGCAGATTGTTTAGTACCCAGGTTTTGGTTCATAGGTCTAATTTTTCTGGACCATAGTGAAAGTGCTATGTATTGTCATTATTGTATGTCCCCATACAATTGCAATATTTATGCTCTGCATTTGAGCCATTACACCAGAGATGCCCCCAAGTGGAGCATTGTTCCGCTGTAAGGGTAGTGGTGAGAGAATACATGTCTTGCTCAAGGATACCACAACATATGGGCATGGCAGGAAGTTGAACCTGTGTCTGTAAGTTGACTGGCCTATGTCTACGCCACAGCCGTTCCTCACTATAAGATAGGGGTGGGGGTGCAAATCCGATGGTCCACTGCTGGCTGGCTGGTTTGAGGCTTCTCCCTCCTTTTGTTTATTTTGGCTTAGTCTCAATTCTCTGTCTCCAATAGTTGAGTTTATTAAAATATATTTTAAAACTAATACATTTGTCTGGACTCCGTGTGTCCTGTGAACCACTTCTATAACACAAATATTCAAACTTGTAATCTGCATGGGATGCTCCGTTGACATAAGCAACTCCACACACTTTAACTTTGAACCAAGAAAGGGTCCTCAAATGAGTGAAATGTTTTTTAACAACATAAAATAAGTCCAGTTGCTTTGATTTTAGACTTTTGGTATTTGTCTTTCTCTGAATGGCTGAAAATTTACAAAAAAACTTCTGAGGACTAAACAAGTAGCTTTTGTCACTCACTTATCTTACATGTATTTGTAGTCATGGCCCCATGGTAGGAACTAAATAGTAAGTTTTTATTTTGTTTTTTCAGTTGCCATAGGTAGCAGGATATATCAGGGATACTTTTTTCAGTGAACCTTAACTACAGTATTACTGATGCTACTGATGTACGCCTGTGATAATCTGACACGCCTGAGTGAAAAGTGGCATATGTACTCCCACCTCATTACAGTTCATTTAATCATCACAATGGACTAAAATTATAAAAAGGTTTAACAAACTTACATGATTAGTTGGTTATTTTTGGTCCAGGTGATATCAACCGAAGGCTGTGACTCAACCTCACAGATGAAAGTTGCATTGTGATCCAGCAGAACATCCATTGTTTCTAATAAGGTAATTATACGAGGGGCTAAAAGCAGGAAAAAACAAAGAGATGCATATTTCAGAAAGCTGGGATTAGATTTGTTGCTCGTCTGTAACCAATATAAAATATGGCATCTTTACCAACTCAATTTACGACAATAAGCTGAATTTCTGCATTATACATTTAATCATAAATATAGGAGTTGTCTGTAAAATAGCACTGCTATTGTTGTGATGGTTGCTGCATTGATCTTAAATTTCAAAATTGAAAATGTTTGAACATTACGTGAACCAAGTCACGCTAACAGTTTAACATCTGCACATGAAGCTCCACACCAAGGTAGTTTAACAGCAAAGTTAAAACAGACTGCACTTTGACAGACACAGGAGTTGCAAGAAAATAGTATCTGAGTTCAGATCAGAGACATCAAGATGTCTTTCAACTCAGTAGGAACTGGAAGAGGAACAAAGCAGGGGAGAAGAAGTGGAGAAGAAAACAAAAGCTTAGGTAAAAAAAAACCTAAAATAAATTAAAGTTTAAAGGACATCTTGCTTATATTGTCTCTTGTAAAGCAAATATTTCCCAATGGTTGAAGTGGAGAATGTCTGCTTTGAACCTCGGGTCACCGCTGCTATTTGACTTATGAACAGCTGACGGGAAAAAGCTGCCATAGATCACCGTGAAGTCCTGATATGAGCCTACACTTTCATCGATGAGACCCTTGAGGCACATTTGACAGAGTATTTCTCTACAATATACTGTAATGGGTGTTCTTAGTGCTCCGAGACCAGAGAAGATGAACTGAAAGGAATTTGTCTCACTACAGAAAAGTTTCTCAACATGTTTTATGGTGTCAATACAATGACAGAGTTTATTTCAAGTTAAGTGAGGTTTCAGTAACTTAAAAGTTCTGGCATGTTGATTTGTATTTGTGTCATTGTTCTGTAATGATGTCGTTCCTTCCATGCTGTTTGTCAGTTGCCTGTGTTACGTCTGAACAAATGAGTCACGTTTGAGGTCACGTGACTCCATTTTTTAAAGCAGAAAGAGTCTGTTGAACTTGACCTTGTTGGAGGTCCTTGTTTAAAAAATGCTACTGCATGTTGTTTGACATTAGAGTAGAAACAAATCCATTTGGTTCAGAGGAGGAGGCCACTCACCAGAATCCCATTTGACCTTTATTCTCTGTGCAGTCAAACGTAGTTAACTCAAGATAGCAATAACTAAGATGCTAAGCCAGCAGTCTTAAGATAAGACATGTAGCTGTGAATCTTAGCAACACTGAGCATGTGTTGTCAAAAGCAACATACAGTATAACCAGTCAAATTTTAACACAACCAAACCTCTGATCTTTAACATTCCATTTTGTTAAACCACTATAAAGAAAGGAATGGTAACACTTTACAATAAGGTACACAAAATGTGATTAACTACTAGGGAACACCTCAGGAATGAATCAGAAACAAATCAGAAGCTAATGGGTAGTTAACCAGTACTTACTGGGGAACACACAGCCAAGCTTTATTTTGGGACTACTGGTTAGTTACCATGTAAATGAAGAGGAACTAATCAAGAACTAATGGGTAGTTACCAAGGGAACCAAAGAGGAAGGACTCAGGAACTAATGGGTAGTTAACTAGTACTTACTGGGAAACAGAGCCAAGCCTTATTAGGGGACTACTGGTTTATTACCACAGAAACAGAGGAGAATTACTCCACATGGGTTATGAAAACCCTGCGCCAGTGAGGTCACAGCTCGTAATTGTCAAACACATGTTTCCTAGTGATTGGATTCTTCCCACTGATTAACAATTCCATCATCTTGTACTGCCGTCATCTTAACTATGTTATTGTCAAGTTAAAACAGTTGCTAAGGCTTTCCATCTTTTGCAATCCGCGTTTGACATCATCCAGTCAGATTTGTTCCATCTCAAACGTGTCCTAAATGCTGATAAAACCAAAGGGATGCTTTTTTTCAAACAGGAAGACGGTCCCAGCAGTTCTTCCTCCAATTTTATCCTCAAATGGTGTCCCGATTGAGTTTGTTGATTCCTATAAATATTTGTGTATCTTGGTCAACTCACATCTCTCTTTTAAGCTTGACGTGGAAAACCTAGTAAAGAAACTGAAAGTTAAACTGGGTTTCTTTTTCAGAAACAGATCCTGTCTAACTCTGAATGCTAGGAAACGCCTTGTATTTGTGACTTTCCTTCCCTCCATTGATTACGGTGACATTATTTACACGAACGCTCCTACAAGCACCCTGCAGATGTTGGATGCTGTCTACCATGGTGCACTAAGATTCATAACTGGCTGTGATTATCGTACCCACCACTGCACCCTGTATTCACTGGTTAACTGGTCATTAACTTCACACAGACTCTCTCACTGGTACATTTTCATCTTTAAATCACTTCTTGGTCTGTTGCCTTCATACTTCTCCTCCTACATGTCTCTGCATGAGTGCAGCTACAGCGTGCGCTCTGAAGACATCATTACCTGCAGTGTTCCCTCAGTGAGGACTGAACTAGACAAAAGGTCTTCTCCTACTCCGCTCCTGTTTCCTGGAACATCTTACAAAAAGACCTGAAGCTCTCGACCTTGATCTCTCTAAGTGCCTTTAAGAATCTGTTGGACTCCTGGCAAGGACCAATGCAGACATGTTCCTGTTTTTAGTTTTCTACATTTGCCTTATAATCTAGCTCAATAATAATCTGGTTGCTTTGCTATTTTTTTTGCCATTTTATTTTAATTTGTAAAAACAACCAAAAAATCTGTATGCCTCTTTTATAATTGTCTATTGTTGTTGTTGTTGTATCCACTATTGTCATCAATCTTTGTTGAAATCAGGTCTCTTTTGTAAATGACTGCTTGTGGCTCAATGGGATTAACCTGTCTAAATAAAGGTTGAATGAATGTCTGACTATCACTTAGTGAGTATCAAATCATTGGATGGCTTTTATTTTGTTCATTGATGTAGTGAAGCATCATACCAAGTACCTAGTAAAGCTTGGTTGTGTGTTCCCCAGCAAGTACTGGTTAACTACACATTAGCTCCTGATTTGTTCCTGAGGCATTCCATTGTAGTTGCGCAAATTCTGTGTACCTTATTGTAAGTTACCAAAGAAGTATAGATATAATGTATTTCACTTTTAAAACTGGTAGTTCTTGAGGGAATTCTTATACGTTTTTAAAAAGGAAAGCAACCCCTTTCTTGGTCAAATCTAAACTCTTTATCAGTAGTTGATTTATAGCAGAGAAAAAAAATACCCCTAACAGGAATTAGTGGACAATCTCAGCCTTTTACTGAGTCAGTCCCTCCAATAACACAGTAGCTCCACAGAGTAGGTGTTCTGTGCTTACTAAACATGCATGTCTGAGGTTTGCTCAGCAGGGTCATACATATACTGTTTGCGCTACCATTTGATACACTACTCATATCACATGTCCTGATCCTCAGCTGCACCTACGGGTTCAACAAGAACTGCCCACGTTTGCTGGCACCATAACGTCCGTGGAACTGTCCTGATCTGAGCCTATTGAAGTACTGTATATCAAAAGGTGTGATACATTGTACTCTATCACAATTTGTGGACACAGTGTGACAAGTTGGACTAACATAGCCTAGAAACATGGGGTCATTTTCCCTGCAAGTAGTCAAATAGGTGATTGTGCTGCTTTTCATGCAGGTAAAACAAAGCAGTATTTTTTCCTCATTTCCATTGGTATTGTTATTGACTGTAAGATTTATCACACAGGAGTCTGACTTACCTTTCTGTGTACTGTAAGCTGAGGTTGCCAAAATCAGCAGAAAGACTAATAAGGGCTTCAAAGTCTTCATCCTGCCTCTGCGATAATCAGTCTGAGCAAATCTTTTGGAAAAGTTAATAAAAATTTAAAAAAGACAGTAAATTAGTAGTTAGGATCCCATACTCGGTAAGGAGATGTTCCTGCGTGTGCTGCAGCCAGAAGCCGCCATGAGCTCTGCGAGATCAACAGGAACCCGCTCCGTCACTGTGTGTTTGAACTGTGTGATGGACATCAGCAGCTGATCTGCATGTACAGTCACTCTGGTCGAAGCTCCAAAGGCTCCAGTGCTCAAGAGCTATCTGCATGCTGACTGGTCAACAACACTGGCAGCAGCTGATTCAAATTCACCAAGAAATACGGTGGGCCGTCATGTTCGTAGTCATCTTCCTATTCAGTGTTCAGATAAGCATCACAGCAGTGTATGAGAAAAGTGTGACCAAAAGACCTTTTCACTTTTTACACTTCTGTAAACAAATACACACACAGCCACATTACATAGCTCACTGCATAACAATCTGACACAAGCTCACGCGAACACACACAGTCCAGGAGGTGTTCTTTGTGTCCACCTGTTGCCTTCCAGTTTGAATATCCTGTTTTATTTTAGGAAAGGAATGGCATTTCAGCTCACTTGCTGCTCATCCATGCTGCTTTGAATGGACTGCCTATTGTACTCCAGCAGCAAGAACCCTCGTTCTCTGAGTCTGAGCTGCTCTCGTTGTTAACTGTTTAAAGGGGTAGATCAGATCTTTTTAGGTGGGCTTCTGAAGAAAACTCATGAACAGCGTAGTACACATTAGATCTTTGAATGGCCTCAGTTTGGAGGAAAAAAGTTTAATTCTTCACACACGGATAAGATATCAATTAAAGTAATTGCTGCATTTTTAAAACAACTCTGATCTAAAAACTTTTATACAGTTCATGTAAAGTATTTTTAGAAGAACACTGTCATTCTTGCATTATCCGGTTATCTCTAAAGAAATATATTAACTTTTTTAGGCTAAATTTGAAATGCTACAGCTTGCTACAAACTGATGCTATTTTAGCTTGTAAATAAACATATTATATGTAAATAATGTGTATTTTAAATGGTCAAAAATTCAACTATTTCTTCCAAGTGATATTGTTTAATAAGGTAATTACAACCGGTGATATACACAATTTAAATGCAACCCCTCTTAAAAAATGGCAGTAATACTTTGACTATTAGTTTAAGTGTTTTAGGGAGGATATTTTTTATTAGTGTGTGGTTTGAAAAGTAAATCATCATCCAGGGAGGGTCTGCTCAGGTTTCCATATTTTCTAACAATGCACTCTGCATTTGCTCTCATGTGCAAACAGCATCCCACCACTAGGTGGTGCTGTTTGGATGACAATTCAGCTTCTTCCTTTTCTATTTTTAAATCACCTTTTTTTTAGGAATGCATAACACTACTATATTATTTATAAGGGTTAAATGGTTTTTAAAAAATCTGAAAAAAGTAAATAAAAAAAAAAAAAGGTTTTAATGTTATTTTCAAATCATCACTGTGTTTTAAACCTCTGATTTAAAAGTGCATCAACATGTTGAATGAGATCAATGATTCTCTGACTCCCTCTCCTGGTAAGTGCAGATAAAATGATGACTGTACATCTTTTATTTTATTTTATTTTTTAAATAGTATTTTCAAAAACCTTCAGTTACTCATCATTTTTTTAATATATAATTATGTCCAAGAATCCAGGCTATCTTGTAATGTTTAAAGTGATACTTGGTAACACTTCTGTGTTATTTCTAAAGGCTTTATTTTTTTATTTTTTACTGAAGAACTAAACAAATTAAAACAAATTACATTTGCCATAGGCTCCAAACAAGCGCCTTGCCTCTAAACATTCACTTCGAAGTTGATCATTTGCTTTTTGTTTTCACTTCTAGTACAAAAGGTAAATTCCAATGACTGGACTCAAAATTACTAATAAAGAACATTTAGTCTTTGGAACATTTAAATAAAATAAATTAACAATACAAATATCTTAAAATATCCTTGAAAACAGTGCTTAAAAAGTAAAAAATGGGGTTTAATAAATAAATAAATAAAAGCTAAATGTAGGTCTATCCTAATAGTTTTACTTTTTATTGTGTTTCACATCTTTTCATGATGATGGCTAAAAGGTTAAAAGAGGTGAGACAGCTGATGGAGCTTAACTATTGTGGAGCCTTTTCAAACCCTGATTGCTCAGCTGCATGCGAACCAACATGGCCCTGTCATGTGCAGCCTTTTCTATCATTCTTTCTTTCTGGCTTTCTTCTGCATGCACACCCTCTCCTTCTAAAGTCGAGTCATATCTGGTGTCAGTCAGCCACTCCCTCTGAACATTGTCTCAACGTGTTCTGCAATAATTAACCAGCTGCTGCGGCGTTGCTGCACAAGCTCACCTCCTGCCACACGAACTGCACTCCAGACCTTTGAACACAAACCCTCACAGTTAAATGCACCATCAGAGCTGAATAATGGAGCCGCTTCATTCGCTTTTAGAAGACTAGAAGAAAGGCTGAGCAGGTAGGAAGAAACATATTAGTTTGGGCTTTATCAAATTTAATACACACAAGAACCATACTCCTTTACACTTTAAGACATACGTTTTGTGCTTTATAATAAAACGGCACTAAGCAGTTTTTATCTTTAAACTTACTGTAAATGATTGAATCAAAAACCAGATTTAATGTGACTGTAGTTGCACAGTGACTCTCTATGTGTTGGTTTGAATAACTAGAATTGTTCATATTCTATAGGAGCCAAACTTTTAGAGGAGAAATGAAAAAGAGGAGTTTCATGTACCGTCTTGAGGGCAGTCGTAGAATAATCTGAGCAGGGTGTGGAGAAGGGATTAGGAAGGTTCATAAAGTGAAGTACTGGGTGTATACAGTGACTTTTTACCCCACTGGCAATATTTTTTTTTCCAGAATAAAAGTATGAGATGAAAATACCATTGTCTACAAAAGCTGTGTAACTTATCTAGATGGTATTCCCAATGTTTGGTGATCCACTAAATTGTTCACTGCTTTCAGATTTGTCTGATTAAAGGAAAATATTTATGTTGAGTTTAAGTTGCTTAACTACACTTTGAGCTAAAGCTGTTTACCTGCGTGAAGGTGGGATGGGTTACCTTGTCTTTAGAAGCCACTTTTTATCCAGTTACACCAGTAACATACATACATACATAAGACATTTGAAGCATCTTTTGCACAATTTATACAAGCTGGATATTAGTCAGTCAGAGTCAGAGTTTCTTTATTGTCATTCGCACCTCATGTGGTACATGTGGTGGAGCGAAATTATGTACACAGGGTCCCAGTTACATCCAACAATAAAATGTATAAGAAAAACAGTAACATCTAAGATATGAACTAAGAAAAACATCAACTAAATATACACTAAGCACTCATAACATAAAACATTGAACATCACCACAAACATGAACATGAGTCTGTGAGCAGATGTGCACGCATGAACACATCAACATTGAGACAGATCAGCAGCAACATGAAACAGATCAGCAGCAACATGATATGGTTTTTCACAGTGATTATTCTAGTTAGAGATTCATGAGTCTAACAGCCTCAGGGTAGAAGCTGTTCCTCAGTCTAGTGGTTCTACACTTAATGCTCCTTAACCTCCTTCCTGAGGGGAGTGGGGCAAAAAGTGTGTGTGCTGGGTGGGTGGGGTCCTTCATGATGCAGGTGGCCCTCTTCCTGCATCTGGAGGTGTAGATGTCTGTGATGGTGGGGAGACTGATTCCAACAGATTTCTGTGCAGCCTTCACCACTCTCTGCAAAGCTTTTCTTTCTGCAGCTGTGCAGCCTCCATGCCACACATTGATGCTCGAGCACAGGATGCTCTCCACTGCACACCTGTAGAAGGAGGTGAGGACTGAGCTTCCCAGACCAGCTCGCCTCAGCCGTCTGAGGAAGTAGAGTCTCTGATGAGCTTTCTTGATCAGGCTGGTGGTGTTGTTGCTCCAGCTGAGGTTGTCATTCATGTGTACACCCAAGTACTTGTAGCTGGAGACCACTTCCACCGCAGATCCTCTTATGTTCAGGGGGGTGTAGGTGTTTTTGTTCCTTCTGAAGTCCACAATCATCTCCTTTGTCTTCTTCACATTGATGTGAAGGTTATTCTCTCTGCACCAGCTCTCCAGGTGTTCCACCTCTTGCCTGTAGCTGGACTCATCATTGTTTGTGATGCATCCCACCACCGCTGTATCATCTGCAAACTTTACAATGTGACAGCCTGGATGGGTAGCTGCACAATCATATGTGAGCAGAGTAAACAGGAGGGGGCTCAACACACATCCCTGAGGAGAGCCAGTGCTGAGGGTTATGGTGGAGGAGGAGAGGTTGTGGATCCTCACTAACTGTGGTCTGTTTGTTAAAAAGTCTAGTACCCAGTTGCAGATGGAGGGGCTTAGTCCTAGTGTGGATAGTTTGTCCATCAGGGTTTGGGGGATCATGGTGTTGAAGGCGGATGTGAAGTCCACAAAGAGCATACGGACGTAAGAGTTTTTCTGCTCCAGGTGGTTGAGTGCAGTGTGGACCACAGAGGAGATTGCATCCTCTGTTGATCGGTTCTCACGGTATGCGTACTGATGAGGGTCCTCGTTGATGTTGATGGTTGTTTTGATGTGAGTCATGACCAGTTTTTCGAAGCATTTAGCGACTATCGGGGTGAGGGCCACTGGCCGATAGTCATTCAGACCAGTCACTGTAGAGCTTTTTGGGACTGGGATGATGGTGGCAGTCTTCAGGCAGGTGGGAACTGTCTCCAGGGTAAGTGAGGTGTTAAAGATGTCTGCCAGCACCTCACAGAGCTGATCAGCACATTCCTTCAACACTTTTCTGGGGATGTTGTCTGGGCCAGTTGCTTTGTGCGGATTAATCCTCCTGAAGGTACTCCTTACTTCTGCTGAGGTCACGCTGAGATGCTCTTCATCCGGTGGTGAGGTGAGTCTGGTGCTGGGTGGTCTGTTCGGGTCTTCAAAGCGTGCATAGAACTTGTTGAGGGCATCAGGCAGAGATGGGTCTTTGGGACATTGTTCACTCCTTCCTTTATAATCCGTTATGCACTTAATGCCCCTCCACATGCTCCGAGGGTCTTGTGAGATGAATTGACCCTCGATCCTCTTTGCATATGTGCCCTTGGCCCTCTTAATACCAGCAACCAGCTCTTTTCTTGTCCTACTCAGCTCCTCTGAGTTTCCAGACCTGAAGGCAGTGTTCCTGGCTTCCAGCAGGGTACGCACCTCTGCATTCAGCCAAGGTTTTCTGTTTGGGTAGCTTTTAACATTTCTGATAGTGGAGACTGTGTCAGTACATGTACTAATGTAACCCAGTACTGAGGATGTGTATTGGTCAAGATCAAGCGAACCTCCATTTTCAGCAGCTTCTCTGAAAACCTGCCAGTCTGTTCGATCAAAACAATCTCTCAGTATGGGGCCACTGTCCTGGATCCAACATTTAACTTTCTTTTGAACCGGTCTGGAGCGTCTCAGCGGGGGCATGTAAGCAGGAGCCAGGAAGATTGAGATGTGGTCTGACAGTCCTAGGTGGGGGCGGGGTTCGGCTTTGTATGCATCTTTTACGTTCGTGTAAACACGGTCCAGCGTGCGGTCTCCACGTGTTGGAATCGTCACATGCTGATTAAAGCTTGGGAGACAGTCCTTTAGATTCAATATTAGTAAAGAAAACCACATTTTGGGTTGTGTTTTAACATAATGACAATTTTGTTTATGAACCAATCATTAAATGCATTAAAACACACAGTTTGGACAAGTTTTCAAAAGGACAATGACACATTTTAATATAGTATTAAAAAAACAAACATCCTTTTCTTTACTGTCAGTGCCCACACACTAATATGAACACCATGAAGTTGTTACGTGCTGAAAGAAGTTACAATTGAACACACGAGCAACTGCAAAGCAGCAGTTAGCGGCTGAATGATGCGCTTTGATTACGCCCCGTGATGTCGTACTATTTAAAATTATAATGCACCACCTGCTTTTGAGCTACTTAACATGTTTAGCAATAAAAATGCAATTTCACAGTTGGTAAGTTTAATGGTTTTCAAACTTTTCACAATCTGAGTGCCAAAACATCCACAACAAAGTCCCCAGATGTCTCCTGTTGAAGCACTCAAACATTGCTACCAAGTCATTCTATTAGATTAATTTCTAATATATATACATTTGTAGAATTCAAATGCATCCAGTATATTTAATTTGATGATCTATAGAACAAGCACAATGGAGTTCTGCTCTGCTGAACAACCATTACGCTCGGCTTTCAAGTGAAAATGCCTGCTGTAACATTCTTTGTACGCTTTTGGCTTTGAGGAATCTTGTATTAGTAGCTTCCTATTGTGACGATTGGGGCTAAAATCAGATATAAAGACCAATGAGAACAGAGATCAAGACTCAGAATCAGTTTACAGTGTTTATTTACAAGCTGAGACATAAGCAATAAGCCAACCCAGAGGAGCAGAGAGAGGGTTAGATTGCAGTTTGAAGGCTAAGGCTACTGTTGGCAGGTAATGCTCCAGCGCTGGCGGAGTGTCTTCTGAGGCCTCTTATAAACTTTATTTATTTAACCAGGCAAATCCCACTGATCTCTTTTGCAAGGGAGGTCTGAGCCTGAAGGCAGCCTAACATGCATGTTTTTGGTCTGTGGGAGGAAATCGGAGTACCCGGAGAAAACCCACGCATGCACGAGAAGAACATGCAAACTCCACACAGAAAGACTCCAGGTCCAACCAGGGATTGAACCCAGGACCTTCTTGCTGTGAGGCAACAGTGCTAACCACTGAGCTGTTGTGCTGCCATTAATATACTATATTATACACCATTATACGCCTCATGCTCGTCAAGCTGCAGGATGACAAGTGTGGCTAATTAGAGCCTGACTGTAGGAGCAGGAGCTGGCAGAGCAGAGCTCCTAAAAGAAATGAACATTAAAACCCTAAATCAGGGGAAATCAACTTAGTTGTGGGTTCATTTTTAAATAAAACTATATTTTCAACCATCAAACAAACTTACTTAATGGCAAAAACTGCTGGATGTCCTGCCCCTGAGCTCTTGGCTTTCAGTAACTGTGGCCCTCTGAGCAATTTAATGGAATAGCCCTGATCTAAATGATGAATTAATGTGAGTGGCTGTCAAGAGAGCAATGAAATAAAATGTGTCTGCACTGATTTTTTTATCCGTATGTGTTTGCATTTAAAGTGCAAATTAGTGTGAAAAGATCTGGACTATATATACAATTATATATATATAATTATATCTCTAAATTTATATCTAATGCAAAGATGGAGCTCAGTGTGTGAAGCTGTACCTTGAAACTTGTGTTTTAGCCACTTGTCAAAGTGTACTTTACTGTATGAAATGATGTGTGTGTGTCCGTGTGTATAAATAATGGTGAAATTTTTAAAATAAAATAAAGTAAAGCGCTAATTGAGTCTGTTATTTTGTCTGATACTGCACAGTTGTTTATCTGCCAATTGTACATTATATTATATTTGTCTTATTTTAGTCTAACTTTGTCAGCTGCTGGATATGTTGATAGAAATCCTGTAATTTTCTCTGAAAACAATAAAAAAGAAGAAGGAAAAAAAGAAACCATCCAGATGATCTGACTGAACATTGCTGGATTTTATTCCTGGATTCCTGAACTTTGTTGTTTTGAACCACTTTGGCATGATTGTCTCAGAGGAGATGACGAGCCCTGGAGACCATCGTAGCACCAGCAAACTTTTTTTTTTCTTTTTTTTACTGTTTGTGGGAATCAGTTTTGTTTGGTGGCTCCTCAGTCTGAAGAAGTCCTTTGGATGAAGGACGAAATGTCTCAGCAAAATAAGAAACCGTCAGGATGACCTGACCATTGTTGGGTTTTCTACCTGGATTATTGCACATGAACTTTGGTGAATAAAAAGAAAATCTTTCAAAACCAGATAAATAGATTGTGACATCACTTTAAACATTGACTGGGTTAGTGTGCAAGTTCAGACATGTTAGAAAAAAGTGTAGAAGAAGTTAAATAATAAACTATTTTAACATCTTGATTTTCAAAATGACTGCATACTTTAGAGCATTTTAGTTGCAATAAACTCACCTTTAAATGGGTTGAAAATCATTGTTGCATTCTGATATTTTCACATCAACATTACTGTGAAAGTTGCACCGAGCATTAATTTTAGTTCCGTTTATTTATCCTGCTGCACAAAACGAAAGGTCGGTCACAAGGAGGAGTGGAAAAGCTGCTGAATACCTGAAGTGTTCCTCAGCAGCAAACACGCTGAGGCAAAGAAAGAATGGAGGACACTGTCAATCAAATGGACTGCTGTTTGCAGGCGGGTCTCACGTCAACAATAATTCAGAAAACGGACAAAAGGGAAAGAAAATGAGAGACTACAAGTACAGGTTACAGTCACACAACCAGACCAAAACATAAACAAACGCTTGGCCCTGCACCGTCATCACTGGTTACTGGGTGGAGTACTGTCATTAAATCTGTTGGAGACGAGCAGAAAAAAAGAAAGTGAAAGAGTGTAGGCAGGACCAAAGCAACACAGAGCGAGAGAGAGCGATAAAAATAACACAAACTTCAGAGAGGCAGTCTGAAAGAGATATTTTAAGCACAGCGAGAAGAAAAAGACAAAGACACTGAATCCATGTCTTGGGTTTTTCATGATAGAGCAGGTAAGACTTTTATTTATCTGGCTATTTTTTAGAGGAAGCGCTGTTAAAATCTTTTAGTGGCATTTCTTGTTTGAGGTCAACACTAAGCTAGAGTTTGTAGTGAAATGCCCTTGGGCTGCTTCAGGCGTTCCGATTACCCTTTTCTGCTCTTATTTGGTGGCCATGCTGTTCAAAATGTTCATCCATTTATTTGTTGTCTCTCTGCAGTAGCTGAATAGAGATGTATGCAGCGGCTCTGCCCCCACTAATCCAAGCAGGAAATGGAAGAGCATTGACCAGGTGAGTTACTAATCTTATCTCTTATCCTGCTGCTGTCAATTTAATTTTTAAACATGCCAAGCTATTTATTTTATTTTGGTTCGTTTTCTCTAAATTCTGCCTGATTTGATCGATTACAAGGCAGGAGTTTGTGTGAGCTACCATTAAACATTGTGATAATGAGAGTAGGGAACAGGTGAAAGAGTCTGGAGAGGCTGGTGACAGAAGGAGAGCTGCAAGAGTGAATTAGAAAGAAGGCTTATAAAAAGTTAATAAGGCTTTCATGTATGTTTTGGAGATGGCGGCATGTAGATGAACATAGTAAGACTTGGTTATTTTTATATTATTAGTGACCAAAAGTGACAGGAATAGGAACGAGAGGGACAGCTCAGGTTGAGTGCTTTATAAAAGCTAGATTAAAAGGGTTTGGACACGTGTCGAGGAGGGGTAGTTGATATATCGGACTAAGACTGCTGAATATGGAGCTGCCAGGGAGGAGAAAAAGACCACAGAGGAGGTTCATGAATCTAGTGAAGGATGGCAAAGTTCATGCTCAATCATCCAGGTACAAAATCCAATAATGGTCAATCAGGTCATCTGGACAGTTTCTTTTTTTGTGGAAAGACGTTGCATCCTCTATCCGGGGGGCTTCATCAGTCTTTCCACAAACAATAAACTGTCCAGATGACCTGACTGACCAATGACCATTATTGGATTTTGTACCTGGATGATTGCGCATGGACTTTGATGTCTTGAACTATTTTGGCTGTGGCTGCCTGCCTGGGAGGAGTCGACAGGAGACCCCCCAGAAACCATCTCGGCAGCAACTGGTTGGTCCACTAAAGGATTGTACTGCTTAGTGGGAAAACAGTTTACCTGGGACTCCTCAGACTGATGAAGCCCTCCAGATAGCGAGCAAAACGTATTTCCACAAAAGAGAAACTGTCCAGATGACCTGACTGAACATTGTTGGGTAGTGAAGGATGGGTCAGATGGTGGCAAATCATTAGCTGTGGTGACCTCCTCAGGAAGCAGCAAAAAATAGGAGTTGATTAACTATAAGCCAAATTATGACTAAAGAATTAGAGTAATTTTCCTGCAGTTCTTTTTCATTTTGTCATCTGCAACATTTTTAATTCATCGCAACTAATTCTATATTTCAGAGCAGAGTTCCTGTCGCTATTAAACACCTACAACTGGTACCTGAAAGAGCAGACTCAGCTCCAGCTCACTTATTGTCAGGTATGAGTTCTATTTTTTTCATATTTTCTCTCAATGGCTGTTCATATAGTTGTCACAGTACTAGGGCTGAACAATTTTGGAAAATATTCTAATTGCAATTTTTTTTTTTTTTTACCTCAATATTGCGATTGTGATTTACATGTAATATGTGATTATTGTTCAATGTCTTCTTCTCATGTATTTTTCAACAAACACAAGCAATACATCAATCTGTTTCGGTTGTTTTCTGCTCCCCTGCAACTCTGTTCCCACATTTTTTGTGTAGCTCCAGTATAGCAACTTGGCTAAAGTGTGTGCACGAGGGCATTCTGTACCGCTTATCCATTATTTACCAAAGCCGTAAACCCAGGCGTGGTCACTATATTAATGGGCACCATGTCTTTCGCTTTGAAATCCAATATGCTGGAGTTATTTCTGTGTCATTTCAAATTATATTCATACGGATTAATACCTTCAAACCGTTCGGGCAGTGATCCCTGTCAGCTGGTGCTTTGCTTGATGAAGCACTGGTCATTGACGTTCTAGTTGTAAATGGCTTTGTGGTGTTGTTTTTTTTAAATGTTGATAAAGATTTGAAGTCAGTAGGAGCAGTTAAACATCATACTGTTTGTTCCTGTGACAGGGTGCAGATGGAAGGGTGCTGGTGGAAGGTTTACTGAATATCTCCTGGGGAGTACGGAGACCAATCAGGCTGAAAATGCAGGACGACAAGCAGAGTCTTCCGTTTGCACCGATGGTTATGCCTGATCCCACCAGTCCAGTCAGCCCAATTGGCAGCAAGAGGTTCGACATCAGCCTGTATTGATATGAACGTCTAAGAGCTTGAGCTCAACATGTGCCAAAATTCTAAACCTTGCATGGGTTTGAGGTGATGTCATGTTTTTGTGTCTGACTACTTGCAGTAGTATGTCTCGGTGGGGAGAATATAATGATCTTCACCAGATCGATGAAGTGGCAGAGACAGACGCAGCCCACCAAACAGTGGTCAAAGATCCTTTACCAGGTTAACTTTAATTTGTGTCACTTTAAAATCTGTTTTCCCAACAATGCTGTTGATTGAAGATCAGACATTTGCAATAAACTGTGCAAACTTCATGGCATCATGTTGAGAACTGAGATACACATGGTTTCATAAACACCGCTTAAAAGTTTTGAAGAATTAATCAAATCACATTTTACTCCAGTATGTTAATATGTTTGGTACCACTTTACAATAAGGCTACCCTTATAGATGGCTAATAAATAGTTTATTAATTCCTCTATAAACACTTTATAAATCATTAGTAACTGCTTATTATGCATTAATTAAGGGTGACAGAGACAAAACTGACCAGTTTCTTGCCAAATATTGAGCCAAATCTGCCACCTATATATTTCATCTAGAGTTGTTATATTAAACATTTGTTACTACCTTTTAAAAGCATAATAAAAGCATTTGTAAACCTATTTATTTAACATGTTTGTGCTTTTTCACTGAATTATAAGTATCTACATCTAATATTATATACAAAAAAAAATAGGTTTACAAAAGTTTATTGTGCTCACAAGTTAGTAACTTAGTCTGAGATGTTTAATAAAACAACTCTCTATATAAAGGTCAATTTTGTCTCTTCCATGCCCTTAATTAATGCATAATAAGCAGTTATTAATGATTTATAAAGTGTTTATAGAGGAATTAATAACATTCAAGTATTCAATGTTCTTTATTTGTTATACGTACCACATGTGGTACATGTGGTGGAACAAAACTGAGTACACAGGGTCCCCGTTACATCCAACAAAAGTATAAAATGTAAAAGAAAAACAGTAATAAGATCTAAGATATGAACTAAGAAAAACGTTAACTAAAAAATATGCTAAGCACTAGTAGTATAATTCAATTCAATTCAATTCAATTCAAAAATACTTTTTTAATCCCAAAGGGAAATTAACTGTATGCTGTAGCTCATCATCCTGCTTTCATTCGAGTTGTTATAGATGCTGACAGCTGTGGGCAAGAAGGATCTTTTGTCTGTCTTGGAGCAGATCTGAAGAAACTGCAGATGTTGATCTATCTACTTGGACTTGTTGTGTTTCTTGGTCTTCTTGGGCAGCAGGATCACCTGAATCTTGTGCAGAACTCCTCCCTGAGCGATGGTCTCTCCTCACAGCAGTTTGTTGAGCTTGTCATTGTGGGCAGCCAGCTGCAGGTGTCAAAGGATGATCCTGGTCTTCTTGTAGTCACGAGCCACATTTCCCACTAGCTCCAGGATTTTGGCAGTCAGGTACTCAAGCACCTCCACCAGGTAGACGGGGATGCGTCCACGGCACCTTCTTTTTAACTCATTTGGGAGTTGGGACTGTAGCTGAGGTATTATTTGAGCTTTAGAGATATTAATCAGCTGCTCCCGGTTGTAAAAAAAAACACCTTGTTGCCATGGTTACGCATCATAACAAATGTCCAAAAGCAAAAAGGTTTCAGTAAAAATCATTCCAGCTGCACAGCATCTGATATCAGAGGAAATAATCATCCAAAAAAATGTGATTTATACCCAGAAAACAGAGTAATTCATGTTTTCTAAAGCAATATCCCAGAATGAAAGTAACAGAGCTACTCCAACATGCAGCCAAAAAACAATACACCATATCTATAAACTATTTATTAGTCATCTATAAGGGGAGCCTTATTGTAAAGTAGTACCTTTTTTTTTTTTTTGTCTGTTTGTTTCATAAAACTTGCTTTTTGACACTTTAGTTATTACGAGGTATTCCAATTGCATGTTTTCACTCATCCAAAGGCCCTCCTGTTTACGAGAGTGCCACGCTGCGTCCTACGAGGCACAAGAATCTGGAGCTGGAGGTGGAGTCCAACCTGTTCCGCTGTATGAGCGACGCTTCATTAGTTAAGAGGAGGAGGGGGAGGGGAAAGTCAGAAGCACAACGAGAGCAGGAAAGACAACATCGCTTCTCCATCAACGGGCACTTCTATAACTACAAAGTATGTTCACGCCCAACAAAGCTCTCATCAATTCTTGGTGGTTTTGTTTACATTTGCTTCAGTCTAAGAGCTAAATGACGACCTGTTATATTCTGCAGACCTCTATATTCACCCCAACGTTTGGTACTTCGACTAAAGTTCGCATCTCTAGCACGATGACAACAGACGAAGTCATCGAGCAGCTGTTAAACAAGTTCAAGGTGACTGCGGTTCTAATTCTAGAACAAGCTCCAAAAAGTGGCATACCATTGTTACATTCCACATCCATCACTTTGAAACTGGCTGTTTCTCCTGCAGATTGAAAATGACCCACAGGAGTTTGCATTGTACAGCGTTCACCAGAGTGGAGGTGAGGCCAATGGGCTCTACGTGAAAAACAAATAATTGAAAGGTTGGAAAACACGACGTACAACGTTAATGGTTTAATGTGTGTTTTGTCTAGAAAAGAAAAAGCTGTGTAACAGAGACCACCCACTGTGGGCGCGCATCCTGCAGGGACCATCTGACGACATCATGAAGATCTTTTTGATGGACATGCATGAAGAGGAAGTCAGCACTGATGTGAGTGTAAAGACAAAACGAGCTCTTCGTGTTACACATCTAACAGATTGTTTCAATGGAAATCAAACTGTTGACATAATATTTGGACAAACGCTAGCAAGGCAATGATGTCAGACCCTCCAGGACACATACGGCATTTTCCGGAGCATAAGTTGCATCAGTCAAAAAAAGCATCATGAAGAGGAAAAAAAAACATACGAGTCATTTCGATGTATAAGTCACATTTATCGTGCGTCACCGCTGACCCGTCGCGTTCACTATGTGTTTATTTAATGGTCAAAACGGCTTCATTTTGCCTGGGCGGCACGGCACCATCTATCCATCGCGGCCCGAGCTGCTAGCTCTCCAGCGTTCTTCCACCTGCACCAACTGAGTAAAGCGCGTGCACAGGTGGACTCACTGTTGCAGTTCTTAGAAATTTAAAGTGTCAGTCAATATGGGGAGAAAAAACAAAGACTGACAAGTCTATGCAAAAAACTGCGACTTATACGCCAGACGATATATGTCAAACTCAAGAGCCGCGGGCCAAATCTGGTCCCCCCAAGATAATTTAAATGTAAAATATTGTATCTTTTCTATTTTTTTATTTAAAAACAATGAAATACATCACTTAGTGCAGACTTCTCTTGCCAGCTGGCTAACATTGAAGTCAGAAAGAAGGTTGCATCATTCTGTCATTACTGATTCTGGTGTGGAAAAAGTAACAGAACGTCATGAAACAGGTCAAACTCTTGTAGATAAACCTGCAACAAGAAAAGATATCAGGTATCTGACTCGAGTTAATGGAGCAGCTGAAAGTGGCCCGTGGCTCGGACAAAGATTTTAAATGTTGGTAACTGAGTTTGACACCCTTACGACAATATCTGGGTATATTTTTATGAACAAATTTTACCAACATATTATAAATAAAACCAAGTATTTAAAGCTCATATAAAAATGCACCCTGCCAGATTTACTTGCATTTAGTTTCTACCAGAAGATATGCTGTGAATATTTAACACTTTTAAGAGTTTGAGCTTTCTCCAGAGTAGTACAAGCAAAAAAAAAAAAAGTAACATGCATCAAAACAAAACTTCAAATAAGAAATTATCTGTTCATAAATAGAATCATTCGTATTATTTGTTATTACTTACAATTTGTATGTTTAAAAAGATGGTTAAGTTAAAATTGGTAGGAAAGTAAGGTGTCAAGTGAATGAATAGTTTTGTTTTCACTTTGGACAAGTTCAAGCCAAAGTTGTTGTTTGATTAAAGTAATTTTATTTTTATTTTTTTAAATAAGAGGCAGATATAAGATTTTTTTCTTCTTTCTGCACCCTTTTCATTATTTTTTTTATGTTTTGATGATTTTTTTTGTTTGTTTATTTTGTTTCTTTTAAATGAATGGATAAATAAATTAAATAAATAAGTAAATTATTGGATGAATCACAAATCTTAAACAGTTTACATCACGTTAACTGCGTTGATTGCACTTTGGTAATTTTCTATAATTATTGTGTTCCAAACTGATTTTTTTTATTTCTGTATCTCTTTCTTTAGGTTGCTCAGTATTTAAACTTGGAGCTTCCGATCTTGGAGCAGGTTTTACTCAAACTCAGAGAGGAGGAAAACAAAGAGATTGAAATGGTCATCAACAAGTATGTATATGACTGGCTTACAAAAATGCAGTGAAGCTTTTCCCACTAGTGCATCATTTAAATAAGAGATTATCTGAGATGAAAACTATTATGGATATTTCTTAGTGTAAAGTGTGGCTGTGGCAAAAATTATTATCTGAAAATAAAACAACTGTAATGAGACATGACGGCCTGCAGAGGGCGCATGATGTTATTTTATGTTTTATTTCTGCTTTGCTTAATTCATCTCCTCACATGTTCTCTCTCTCAGGTATCACCACCATCACAGACTTCTGTCTAACATGCTGAACGTTAAGACATCTCCTCACATTGAGACCAGCGTCTGACGACTACTGAACTCAGTTTCTAACAAAAAAAACACTTCAAGGATTCTGAGAAACTCTGAGCATATTTTGAAAAGGCCTTTTTTTACTTACAAATTGTAATTTAAATAATAGTAATTTGTCACAAGATTTTTTTTTTTTTGGGGGGGGGGGGGGTGGAGTAGCACCACCTGACATCCTGTTACAAATCAGCCAAAAATGCGGCGCTCCTTTCAAACCCTAAACAACGAGTTAGCTCAAAAGTTTACATCCACCTGTGGACAGTTTTGTTTGTAAATAAAGACATTATGCATTTTAGGATGTTGCCAATAAATGGCGGGGTGGGGGTGTTAATAAAAACAAAAAAGACCAAATTTACTTTGCTTCCTTATTTTTGTTTTTGTTTTGTTTCTTTCTTTCTTTTGGCTAATAACTTGGGACCAACAATTTTGAAGAATATAATTTATAATAACAATAATATTAGTTTGTATTACACAAGCAAATGTGTGATTTTTATTAAACTGATTCAATATTAAATAATAAAAGTGAAAATAATTATTAAAGCATTATCATTATTTTTCACTTCTATTTATTATTATTGAATCATTTTCATAAAAACTCACACATTTGCTTGTGTAATCTACAAACTATTAATCATATATATTCTTGTTATTATTATCATTATTATTATCATTATTAGCATTATGGATGATGACATAAACATGGGCCACTCAGAGTGGCCCTTCTGTGAATTAGATTAACAAAGACTTTAAGAAACCCCTACTGTGAGGTGTGATAGGTCAATATGCATATGTATGTATCTTACCTCAGCTTTATAACTTGAACCCCACACTTCCTGTTCTTTGAATTGAGAAAGCTTCTCAGATGAGAAGAGAAACGTCTTCTGCTACAAATAAAGACCAATTGTTTTTGTCTTAAATTGTTTTGAATTATTGTTATTATTATTAGTAGTAGTAGTAGCATTAGCATATTCTTATACATTATAAATATTAGTAGAATAAGTATTCAGAGGCTTTATTTTTTTCTTTGGGGATTAAACTGTTCAAATATTTACATTACAAACAAATGAATAAGTGCAGCACAGTTTTAACAGCAACAATGCAATATTTCATCAATGCTGGTCTAGACAGACTGGTCCTAATACCAAGAGCGGAGTCTGATTTTCCTTTAACATTTGAACTAAGTGAATGAGAACATGTGCCATCTGGTTGTTTAATTGGGAGATAGACTTTCCATATGAACTCTGCCAAGAGGGCTGAAGTAGCAGTCTTGAAATGGAAAGAGTGTGCCTCAGTCTCTGTGGCTTTGTATTCTGGTGAATCAGAGATGATGGTCTGGCTGATGACCAGCTCCAGAGGGGATTCCATCTCTGTGAGAGAATATTAACTTTAATTCATAACTTTTAATGTATGGACAGTTGTATGTATGTGAGTGTGAAATCCATATTGAATGGTATTTATATGGTACATTTAGACTAAACGATATGTTGTTTTTTTGTTTTGGCATTTGCAGTAGCTGGGGCTATCTTCATCTTCATTCAGCTGTTTCCTCTTCAGGGGTCTCCACAGCGAGCCATCCTCCTCCGTTACTCTCTGTCCTCTGCATCCTTTGTCCTCAGGTCATACCTCCATGTCCTCTCTAACTGCATCCATATATCTCCTGTTTGTCTTTTTCCTGGCAGCTGTACTACTTGTACCAATATATACACAGTCCCTTCTCTGGACATGTCCAAACCATCTCAGTCTGGCCTCTCTATTATTTTTTTTTTTTTTTACCTGGCTCAACATGTGGAACAAAAAGGTCTAATGCTTAACACCACAAAAATAACTCTTTGTCAAGGAGTGGACAGAAAACTGATGTAATTTCAACTGGTCTATTAGTCATCCATGGTTACCCATTACTTCATTCAGCAGCTTGAACGTTTTTTTATGTTTATCTGTTTTTCCAACAACAGTTAAAAGTGTGATTCATGATAAGGCTGTGCACTAAAAACATCAGTTTGTGATAGAACTGCATACAAAGGTAAGCATTCATGCTAAAAAAAAATAAAACTGGAGGTCAAGTAATCACTTTTCCTTATGTTTAGACAAATATCTGAACTGTGTTTAAATTTTGCTTAATGTACATTTACAAATGTTGCCTCATTTTACAAAGATCCAAAAATGATATGAAAAAATATCATATCCTAGAAGAAGAAGAAGAATTAAATATTAATAAAAATACAAGTTTAACAACACAAACACAAACAAAAATAAGTAAGCATCCCCACTTCATGATGAGAAAAATCCAGATGTTTTATTTTCTTGTTAGCTACAATTTTTTTAATTTATTTATTTTTTTAACAAAATCTGATTCGACTTTTCTCAGAAATTCAATTTTCCATCTTCCAAACTTCATTTTTAAAGTTAAATCAGTATCGAATTGTGTGCGTGCTGTACTGTAGCCTATAAAAAGAGTTACTCCTCCTTCTTCACACTTTTCCTGCACTTTTGATTCATCAGCTCGTGTTTGCTGTTGCGGACGTCAAAGCTCACATCAAAGATACATTTCAGCCGCTGTGAAAAAGAAAACATTATTAATAATAATATATATATATATATATATATAAGTAAAACAGATCACTTTATGGTTACTCGTTGTAAACTGTTCAGTAAAACACACAAAATGGTTATATTAAACTATCTGAAATAGTGCAGTTTTATGCAACCAATGTAAACAAGCTGAGCATGAATATTTAACAATACATTTTGCTAAAATATATATATATTAAAAAAACATAATCTCAAATATCTTTTTCTAGATTGTTGGCTATTTTCACACTTTCAGACGTTCGTTGGCAGCTGTTTACAAAGACATCTTACAACTTATTATTTAAGGACACTCTAAGTACCAATGTCAGAAATAAAAGGATATTATTTTATTTCCTACTTTATTATTTTTAGATTAGTCTTCGTGCCATTGCAATGATTAGCTTTAAAGTTAACCATTTTTTTTCTCATATACGATCGTCTATCTTAAAGAATAATGTGCATTGTAATCTGATTTATTTATTAATTTATCCACAGTGTGGTGTTTAAACACCATTCCTTGTTTTAAGATACACATATGGCTGTATGTAAAATTCTTAATGCATGTTCATTCAACCTTTATTCAGATAGGTTTATGTGATTATTTATAGCAGTATGCAAGTTGTCACTCAAGCAAATGAGGTATAACTTTTAGTAAATAATATCTATTTTTAATATCTATTACTTACAATTTATTTTTATTACCGTATTTTTCAGACAATAACATGCAGTTAAAATCCTTTAATTTTCTCAAAAATCGACAGTGAGCCTTATAATCAGGTGCGCCTTATGTATTAATTTTGGTTGTGCTTACTGACCTCAATCCAACTTTATGTGGTTATTGTGATTGAGTTGAATAAAGTTTGCCATATTTGACTGTTTCGTTTTGCTTAATGTACCTTATAATCTGGTGCGCCTTATAGTCTGAAAATTACGGTAAATTAAAAAAACAAAACGTGCAGAACCGATTTACCTTTTGAACCAAACTGCAGCTCTTCAAGTCATGGTTTTCAGACTTGAGACATTTGGTTTTTCCCAGGACCAAGTTCACCCTAAAGTTGATTGTGTTAGTCACCTGAATACAAAGAAACAAAAAACCCAGTCATTAAATGTGAGCGAAATATTTGCTAATAATTAAACGGGTTCTAGTTTGGTGGAGTAGTTAATCCAACCTGAGTTTTAGCACTTTTGATTGAGACCAATTTGAATATTTTCTTGGCCTTGGACTGTGTGTTGAACATCTCCACAGCACGCTGAGCTGCCTCCTGAACATCAGCTGACTCGGTGTTCTTCTCAGACCAACCACCCAGAAGAGGTGCTTTCCCTGGGAAAGCAATAAATGCAAATTTAAAAATGCCTGACTGACAATTTTAATTCGAATTTGGCTTAAATGATGAAAGTTAAGGATTTGTTTGAGACATCTGACAGCACAGTGAACCTAATCATATTTAATTTGCAAGCTATAGATTCTGCTCATTGTTCTTCTTAGTGATCAAGTTTAGTTTAATCAGCGATTCAGTCGGATAAATTTAGAAACATTAAAGGTAGTAATCCAAACTGACTGTCATATCAACAAGAAGCAACACAAGAAGCTTGAGAAACTCCAAAGACTACAAAAGGAAGTGATTAAGTTGTGGAATGTCCAGGTTTCAATGGTGCCAGTGATTGGAGCTGTGCCATCCACACTGAAAGAGATCCACCAGATCCCCCCAAAAAACATCAGAGATCTATGTCCAGAAAATCACAGTCCTAGGAATAACTGAGACACTGAACAGAACCCTGAAACTGCCTATAAGATGATCCTGGTGGTTATACTGTATATTCATTCATTCATTCAACCTTTATTTACACAGATAAATCACAATGAGCCTTGAAGACTCATTTACAAGTGAGACCTGTTTAGACAGACAAAAAGTAATGAAAGTGACACGTGTATAGGATTTTGAGGGGGAAATAAACTAACATACTCTTACTCCCTGGCTGAGAAGAAATAGCCTGAAATTGAAAAAAACACCCCGCATATAGGCACATAGTGACGCAGACATTCTGCAGGAGAGGGGAGACGACAAGAGTGGTGAGCGTGTCCAAGGACACTCCAGAGGCACTGCAGAATCAGCCAGTTCCCTCTGGTGAGATCCATAAGCACTCTCAAGGGGTGCCAAGGTCAACCTACAACAGCCAGAGAGAATCCAAGAGTCCTGAAATGATGACACAATGTTTATTCAGCCAGATCCCTCTGATAGGTCCACAGCCTTCATCGGTGGGAGTGGAGGGGACAGAGCATAGAATTTACAGGACCTCCAGGTGAACCATTCGGAAGATATGTAGAGACGTTCTGAAGCAGTTCCACAGACAGGACAGATCAAAGCAAAGCAAGAGAGGAGGAAAAAAGCAACCGCCCTTGACAAGAGCAAATGATGACGTGATATTTATATACATGTACTTATATACTGGTATATATTTTTTTTTTCTTCTTTCGGCTGCTCCCTGCATTAGGGGTCGCCACAGTGAACTAAGTCGCACAAAGACTTAGCAATTATTTTTACACTGGATGACCTTCCTGACACAACCACAGACCACCGAGCTACCACAGCTCTCTGTGTGGAGCAGAGAGTTGCTATCTAGGGTGCCCAGAGGAGCAGATGGTGGGGGTTAAGGGTCTTGCTCAAGGGCCCAGAGTGGGGCAAATGAGGGTGGGGGCAGGTGTGGGTGCTTTACCTACATGCTTTACCTACATTCTTTGATGTTGTCGGTACCGGGAGTTGAAACGGCAATCTTCCGATCACAGGCCCACCTTCTCTAACCTCTTCGCCACCACTCCCAAATATACATGTGCTTATATACAGTATGTAAAACTTTTATATGCACAAACATTACAGTGACATGCTCACTGGTAAATGTTTTACAATGCTATGCATTCGACTGATTTAATGAGCTATAGCAACTGTGAGGATTTGTGTGTTTTTCTACTGTGTCTCCCTCTTGTGGTCAGTCCCAGCTCCTGCGTCCCCAGCTGTTTCTGATTGTCTCTGCCCCAGGTGTTTGCCATTGTCTTTGGTTAACATCTTTATATAAGTCTGTGTCTCTGTGTTCCTTTTTGTCTTGGCAATGTCCTTTTTCTGCCTCCCTCCGTGTTTCTCCCTTAATCATATAAGTTGTTGATGCCGCGTCAGCTGTTTTTGTTTATTCTAATAAGTAACCTTTACTTTCATCCTGAGTTCTCCAAGTCCTGCCTGCACATGGGTTCAACCGAACAGCAGAAACGAGATGCCAACTAGCAGAACAGCACTTCAGTATATTGGATCCCGAAGTTGGTGCTGGTAAGAAACTTCCAACTATCCAACATCCAAGTCCAAAATAATTATTTCCAAATGTGTGCACAGAGCTGAGCCCTTTTAGGCAGACAACTCGTTTCGACATTCTAATTTTGGGTTCACACCAATTTTGATGCAGTATCTGTGTAAAGGTTGAAAATCCTGTTTTTCCTGCCAGCTAGCAGTTGTTGCATCGTCTTTCTCCACCCATCAAACTTTTGAATTGATGCGAGTCAACAGTACAAGCAAATGCAACAAATCACACCCAACTTTGCACATTTTAGTTTCCCTTTAATTCACAGAATTCAATGACACAATATTTACAGGGTGGTTGCCTTTTATTAAACCCATATTATAAAGCTTTACATTATGTCAAATGCCTGTTTAGAAGAAAAGACCACCACATTGCAATTCAAAATTGTGTTAAAATTCTAATTTTGCTTCTGTTCATTGAATATTAGTGTTTAATCCTGAACTTTACTTACTGTATTTTTCAGACTATAAGGCACACTTACAATCCTTTAATTTTCTCACAAATCGACAGTGAGCCTTGTAAACCGGTGCATCTTATGTACAGTGGTGGAGAAAATACCATATTTTTGACTGTTTAAGTCACATTTTTTGCATAATTTGCATGCCCTGAGACTTATTCACCGAAGCAATGTATTTATGGATGTTTTTTTCCCCATATTTATAAACCAATTTTTGCCTGAGATATGACCGTTTTCATTCATTCTGACTGAAAAATAATAATAACACTACCATTTTAAGCCACTAGATGGCAGTTGAGTTGTATGACATGCCATTGTATCATACAATAGGTAAAAGTGGATATTAATGACACAATTGGCTTGCCATAATCTGCCACCGTCGTCGGCCTGGAGCAACCGCATCAGCTTCATTTCGCTGCACCGCCCCGGCGAAATGCATCTGATTTGATCGTCAAAGTGCATTTATTAAGCAAAATTTCAAATGAGACACACCTTTACTAAAATGTCGAGCAAACAAAAAATTATCCTTATGCATGCTCAAACAGACAAATAATTGTTTTTAAATGTTAATCTTGTTAGATTCCTGTTAAAATCCTCTCGTGCATGCTCCTGCAGCTGCCTTTTGGCAGCCAATCAATTTTTGTAACAAAGGCAAGTGATGCATATTAGATGCAACTAAGTTTGACTTATCGGACTGTTTTATTTTGTGTAATGCACCTTTTAATCTGGTACACCTTATGTATGATAACAGACCCGTTCATTGATATTGCGCCTTATAGTCCAAAAAATATGGTATACTTTTTTTTTTTGTTCCAGTGTGTGACTAAATTCAACTTTCTGCCAATTAAAATAATACTTCAACAGTGATGGATTCCTCAGAGATGTGGCCAAGTCTCATATTCTCTGACTCACACTACCCAACCACACAGCAGTGAGCGTCATCGTCTGAACACCGTGTGCACAAACACACCATTATTTTAACATGAGCTCACAATGCCACATTATTTCCAAACAAAAGTTAGGTCCTCTCAGCACAAAACTTTTATTGTTTAAAACGTCATTACTAACCTGACCCAAATGGGTCTGCTACATGTTTAGTTGGCTTTCTGCCTGTTTATCCACATTTTATGTACTCATGAGGATTAAGGAGAAAAAATGACATGCTTGTTTTGGTTTTACCTGCGATCTAATACTGTTTTTAAAGAGATTTTCTTCACTTTTTGAAAACGGTGCAAGTACACAAAAACAAACTGACATTTTTGATTGTTATACATCATTTAACTCATCTAACTTAGGCTTTTCGTCTAAAACACCCCTTTTTAAAAAAAAACACACAACTTCACCATCTATTTTATATATTTTTCTCTTATTCCTACTCACTGGTTGTGACGGCTTCCTCCACAGGCTGATCTCCCACACACAGATGGACCACTGACAGGCATATCAGCACTGACAACCATATCAACATCTTCCCCTTCCTCCACATTGCGGCGTTATCCTTTGGCTTTCAGATAGAAAAACCTCAAACACTTCACTGGAGATGGTCTTCTTGACTTGCCTCAGATGTTCCAGGGTATTTACAGCAAACTGATGCATCCGGTATAGTTACAATAGAAGAAAACAAAAGAGAAAGACATTGAAAACACTTGAATTAGAGTTAAAAATACACATAAGAATGAGGAAAAAGCCTTTTTGTAGTTGAAAATGCGCAACCAAACCTTGTAGTCGATGGCAAAAGTGAGAGCAGCGGAATAGTAAGAGAGGAGCAGGGTGTTGTTGTGAATGTGTGCGTCTGTTCAGGATTTAAGCTCTGGTATGTTTAACCAGCCAGTGAACACCACACCCACCTCCTGCCTGACAGTGACACCACACACAGATTTAACAACCATCAGCAGCTTCTGTGTGTGTGTGTTTGTGTGTGTGTGTGTGTGCAGAGAAAAGATGGATGGTGGGTGTTTGGCAATGGTTGTGTGTGTGCTCGAGTGTATGTTTGCATTCATGTAGGCATGTCGTCTGTTAATGTGATGTCTGAGTGGACGTGCCCACATAGAGTTAGCATTTCTTTTACTTGGACTTATCCCAGCTGGTGACATCCAGCTGGCAGGCGGTGAGTCACGCGCTGCAGAAGCACTTTACATATTTTATATTTCATGAAAAGTATGTGATGTGAAACCGGAAAGAATGTCTTCTGCGTAATTATATTCAATATAGACTGGACAGTTGTGGTAAAGCAGACTTCCAATGAAAGAGTTCTAGGTTTAATTCCTACAGCGCACAGTCACATGTCAAAGAGTCACTGAGCAAAACACTTTGCCCTCTAATGGGTCACCCATGGGTGTATGAATGCAGTCTAATTAGACTCCATAAAGCAATTTCTTCAGATGAAATTGTAGAGATATAGGTATGTGAATGGGGAAATGTGGGTACACTGTTGTGCTTGTTTGCTAAAAAAAAAAAAAAAAAAAAGTGCTATAAAAGTACATACCATGTACAAAATATGCATACAGATAAGGAAAATACTGGTTTTATTTTATGAAATGCCTTTTTGTAAGTTTATGACAAGTTTACCAAAAAAAAAAAAAAAACTTTAGGTCCTAAATGGAATATGAGACAGTAAATGGATTTCCATAGAAAAAACTGCAGAGTACATGTTTTTCCAAGACTTTTTTATGGTTTTTCCTCTATCACCACATTAGGTTCAAATCTCTCCTCATTCAAAATAACTCATGCGTCCGCTGGCACGCTGCCGCTAATCTTTGCACAGACATCTGTGTCCATCGTAAGATGAATCCGAATGGTTTCAATGGTGTAACCAAGCTGTAGCTGTGGCCTTTTATACAAATACTGCCTGCTGTCTGGTTTGGCAAAAGATAACACCAGCATTTTATAATTACAAGAGGACCAGGATCTTGGCTAAGACATTAAGCATTCTAAGATGTGGCTACTATGATTTATTTCAAAATCCCTACTGAAGTGTGCACTTTATTTTTGTGCATTCCGCTCACCCTGGGATGTTTGGTTTTGGCATGAATCGGGTCAGCCGTGGGCTCAGCTAAGAGTTTATTTGCTGCTAAAGGTTTGATTAGTCCAGCAAAAAGTGGTAAATTACTGAGCTGGAAATCAAGATAATCAGACTTCAGGGCAGAATGTTTGCTGTGAATATTACTAGTGGTGGGATGTAACTATAAGTACAAGTACTTCGTTACTGTACTTAAATACATTTTTCATGCAGAGTTAAACGTGGGTACTTTTGACTTTTCCACTACATTTTACATTATCTGTACTTTCTACTACACTACATTTCTATAATGCGTTGTGTTACAAGTTACACTCACGTTGTGGATTTTTGATTTGTTCGTTAGTTTGAAAGTAACCTATGGCGAGAGAGGAGTTAGTCCATTGAATCGCTGCAAAGTGGGCAGGTAACGTTGGAGCTGCCTTCAAGAAGAGCTGGGACAATAACGTATATTCTACTATATATACATCATTGAGCTGGGCACACCCACAGCAACACTAACACACCCAAAATGGATTACACCGCAGAGAGTCAGCCAGAAGATATGTGCCACTCATGGCCTTATTGAAAGACTATTGAAAGATTATTGAAAGATTATTGAAAGACTATTGAAAGACTATTCAGTACAGCAGGACAGATTCTCTGTACTGGACTCAAAAAAACTTTGAAAACCAACTTCTTCTGAACTTCAAATTCTTGCTGCATTATTAAAATGTGTCAGTTCATGATGTTGGGAGACAAGAGATGTCTCCAAATGGTTCAACACTCAGGTCAAGTTTTGAAAATGGTGTCAGGAAGTTAAAGTATTGCTCACTGTTGACCCATTACAACGTTGAATAGACAGTATTTTAACTAGAGTTGATGACAAACTGGAGGTGAAATGACCAGAGCCTGTTCCTTTGTTAGTTGTGTCTAATGCTTCTTTTTTCAGGCAGACAACTTTTACTTAAATGTGTTTACTGCAGTTAAAATGACACGTTGGTATTACTTTGTGTTAAACAAAAACTCTCAAAGGTAAAATCATTCTTCTTTCTTATTTGTGCTTAATGGCATTTAACTCTGCATGTCATCCTTGACATTCTGATGCACAGAATCACAAGTCCAAGTGTGAACTGTGTCACAGAGTAAACACAATAAAAACATATTATCTGCAGCATTGTTCATTAAAATGGCTCAACACTATTAATGTATTACAGAAAATATATATACAGTAGGGATACTTCTTGATATTGTAGACCATTGCATTAGGTAATACATTAAGCAAGTACTTTTACTTTTAATATTTTAAGTATTTTAAAAAGCAAGTACTTATTTACTTTTACTCAAGTAAAAACGTTAATGTCGTACTTGTACTTTTAGTAGAGTACATTTTGTCTGTTTATTTGTACTTTTACTTAAGTACAGTGCTTGTGTAGTTTCTCCACCACTAAATATTGCACATGTACTTGGAAGAGAAATGTGAATCATCTGGGAAAAAAAAAACAAAAAAAAACTTGTAATTAGTGAGCTTGACCAGAAGAGGGAAGCCACACCACAAAAAGTGCTGCACAAGCTCAGTGTTTTGTATATACTGTATATAAAAAAAATACACACTTTATATGAGTTTGCAAGTTCTCTCCGTGCATGCGTGAGTTTTCTCCAGGTACTTCTGTTTCCTTCCACAGATTAAGCTGACTGGTAACTCTAAATTGTCTCTAGTGTGAGTGAGAGAGTCAATGGTGTTTGTCTCTGTGTCCCTGTGATGGACTTGCGACCTGTCCAGGGCGTCCCCCGCCTGTCTCACACTGCTGGCTGGACACGGGCACCAGTGACCTCCGTGACCCAAAGGAAGAAGTGGGTAAAAGATAATGGATGGATTTATTAATGGTTTTGTCACCTATTCTCTGTTGTGTTCAAGACTGTTCAAGAAGACTGTTGGAGTCAGCCTCCCCACCATCACAGACATTTACACCTCCAGATGAAAGAAGAGGAAGAGGGCCACCTGCATCGTGAAGGACCCCACTCACCCAGCACACACACTTTTTGCCCCGCTCCCTTCAGGAAGGAGGTTGAGGAGCATTAAGTGTAGAACCACTAGACTGAGGAACAGCTTCTACCCTGAGGCTGTTAGATTCATGAATCTCTAACCAGAACGATCACTGTGAAAAATCACATCATGTTGCTGCTGATCTGTTTCATGTTGCTGCTGATCTGTTTCATGTTGATGTGTTCATGCGTGCTCATCTGCTCACACAGACTCATGTTCGTGCTGCTGTTCGACGTAATGTTTTTATGTTATTAGCGCTTAGTGTATTTTTAGTTGATGTTTTTCTTAGTTCATATCTTAGATGTTATCATTGTTTTTCTTTTACATTTTATTGTTGGATGTAACTGGGACCCTGTGTACGTACTGGTAATTTCGTTCCACCACATGTACCACATGTGGTGCGAACGACAGTAAAGAATCTCTGACTCTGACTCTCTGACTTGTTCTACAGTTAATAAGCTGTAGATGTACGTTCAGTAATTACTTTCTGAAAGTTTCATTGTTCAGGTTTCACAGACGATGATAACAGACAACCAAAGTGGACACCAACAGTTAATGCTAAAGTTTAAACAAAGATTTCGCACAATGAGTTTAATTTGAATTATGCGTTGTGAATGACTCTCAGCTAAACATACCACATATTTGTGCATGTCTAAAATCTACTTAATTATAGCCATTTTTATGTTTTATTATGTTCATTTTGATGTAGTAGCCATCTTATATTGGAGTAGCTCCAAAATAAAATCAGTTGTAGCAGGATATTTAATTGTTCCTGACAATTTAATAAAAACCCATAGGGGGTTTTATGAGACATTATGCCAACGGACAGAGTTTCCTATAAATAGATGCACAATTTTAAACAAAGTTCTTGTGTGATCTGTTTGAACTTAAACTGTGTTGGTGATCAATCTATTCTACTGCCACACCAAATTTGAGGTTAATATCTCTAAAACTGACAGTTAAAGCCATTTTTGTGTTTGTTTTATTGTCAGCTGACTGTGGCAGCCATCTTGAACTGGGTCCACTTTTGACTCCAAACGTTAATCGGTAGCGGATGTGATGCGCACCTTTTACTGATCATGTTTTGCAGTTACTTTTTGTCTGCTGTATTGAAAATTGTCCAGCAGTTTGTAAGATATTTTAGTAACAGACATGCACACACTGACACAAGCAGAAAAAGAAAGTGCTTGTTGCCTTTGATGGTGGTTTATTATGAGACTACTGACAGCCGGATGGGAACTGACCATTGTGCTGGTTCATGTGCAGATGGACAAGCAAACAAATTAAGGGTCCAAAAAAAAAGAAACACCTGCTGTCCAGCAAACAGCTTCAGCATAAATGACAAAAGATTTTAATTAACACAGACTTTGTCATATCTGAAGATAAACAATAAGTGTAAAGCTCCAAGTTCAATAGAATATATTTATTTTGCACAATTGTGCTACAGTAATTTCAAAAGCAGTCTGATTCAAAATCTGGAATTTAGATGAGAAATGCAGAAATAATCAATTTAACATAATATGTGCAAAAATGTTGTAAAACTCTAAATTTAGCAACAGGTCTAGTTTGTGGTCATTGCTCTAATGCGTCTAATAGGATGTTTTCCTGCTTCTTCTCTGCATCTAAAAGGTCAGGGTCAGTGAATGGGGACTGTGGACCCCATTGGAAACTGGAAATCCCCGTATCAGTGGAATAATTGATGTCAGTCTTGTTTGTCCGTTGCATGGACTGGAATCCAGACGCTGCAGCTTTAGGACGCTCTTGTTTTGTCTGGTAATCATGAAACTA